GTTTTTATCTCTAACTGTTGTGTTTTCCTTTTTTGCAGCATAACAGTAACAAAATAATTTCATAAGATGAACATAGAGAATGACAATAACATCCAAATTCATAAGATGAACATGCAGCATGACAATAACACATTTTTTTCTGAAAAACATAGTCTCCTTACATAACTAGAAAAATTCTCACAGGTTCACAATGACAGCAACATACAGTACGCAGAAAAATTCTCACTGGTTCATAATGCAACATACAGTACATAGAAAAGTTCACAGGTTCACATCCATTACATCTCTAAGACATAACACACATTTAGGCAACTTTCTCATGCACGAATCACAAACTCAGTCTTATTTTGCTCCTTGTGCTCAGTACAGGACTACTAGGCTGAAGTCTTTTGCTCCTTGTGCCCATTGCAGGGGGTATCGAGTTGCAACAAAAGATTTTTTGCAGCCTTTTTATCTACTTCTTTCTTCCTCCTTTTGCCCTTTAACTTGACAACAATTTCTTGCTTATCTGTGGATGTAGGAAATTAAATTGAAAGTGGTTCAGGTTGATTTGAACCACTTCTTGACCTGTACATGTTCATGTATATGAAAAATTAGTTGAGATCAAATCGAAAAGTCACCATGCAAAACAAATTCAGATTTAGTATAGGTTACCTTTTTGATGCTCCAGAGTTAGAGGAACCCCGCTTTCCCTTTTTCCTACTTGTAATTTCCAAGCTTAGGCTATAAAAGAAGAGAGTTTGGTACTTAGAATTGAGCATGAGGTTTCTATTAGTAAAATATTTATTCAAGTTTTGATTAATTACCTTTTCGATGGTCCAGAATTGGAGTCAAAGCCCTTTCTCTTCTTATTAGTTGTAAGTTCAGGTTCCAAGTTTTGACTATAGTAATATTGAAAGTACAAGGATGAGACACCATGAATTGCAATCTAAATACAGAAAGTGGAAATTGAGCAAACCTTGGTGGAAAAGTCATAGAACGTGCTGGTGCTTCATCCTCTAATGGCACAATGGAACTCTGTGCTGATTTGGTAGCCTTTTTCCTCTTTTTTGGTGATCCTCTACATAAGCAATTAGGAAGTAAATAATCTGAACTAATAAAAATAAAACATGCATGGAAGATGAAACCTATGCAAGTACCTCAAATTCTTCATTGCTTCAATGTCTTTTTTGCTACCCTTCCTGCAGTTATGCCAGTGATGCCCATATTCCTTACAGATAGGACATTGATGCTGCCATTTTTCCCCCTTCTTCTCACCACCACCTTTGTGTCTCTCAGTTTTATGCCTACCAGGTACATACTTTAGTAGTGGTCCATGCATGAAGAAGCCATGGGTACATTTAGGCCATTGTGTCTTGTCAGGCACTGCAGGTATTAATGCACTATAGGCTACTCTAAATTTCCCAATGGAGTAGTACAAGTCAACATATTTCTCAATAGGTGCATTAGGTAATGCTGTAATGAATGCAAGTGCATGTTTGCAAGGAATGCCAGAGACTTGCCATTGTCTGCAAGAACATGTTCGTTGAGCCAAGTCCACCACGAACCTAAAGCCAGTGCCACCAAGTAAGGTAATTTCAGCCACCTCTTCTGAGCATTCTGACACTTCCAAGTTCAACTCTCTGGTCTTTTCATTTAACTTCTTAATTATGTGGGGAAGAATCAAGCCATCTATTTTGTTTTCAATTTTCCTTCTTTGGTTCCACTTGATCATAAATAATTGTTTGATCTTATCCATCAAGTCATCCAAATTCATGGACTTGTACTGCTTAATCCAATTGTTGAAGCTCTCTGCCAAGTTGTTGGTCATATAGTCCATTTTGGAAATGGTTGAGAATTGACTTCTAGTCCACAACTTGTTGTGACAGTCTTATGTAATTAGTTGCAGCGGGCTTTGCTTTCTCCATCTCAACCCAGTGTTTCTCAAACATGTATGGGTTCCATGCATAAGCTGCTGCCCAGAGGTGATCATCAAACACCTTCCCACGGTACTTCTTGAAATGGGTCACCAAGTGAAACATGCACTCTCTATGCTCTGCCTGTGGAAACACTTCCGCAACAGCTGCCATGATTGCCTGGCCTGCATCAGTGCTTATCGCTAAACCCAGAGGTGACCCAATAGCCTCTCTAAGCCTACTCATGAACCAGATCCAGTTGTCTTTAGTTTCGGAATCAAAAACTCCAACACAAACAGGATACAACCAATTGTGGCCATCAACTGCAAAAGCACTAGCCAATTGCCCCTTGAACTTGCCTGTCAGGAATGTGCTATCTATTGCCAAGTAAGGTCTACAACCATTCAGGAACCCATCTATGCAAGGTTTCAAGGCAAAGAAGAATCTCCTAAATCTTATTTTCTCATTTACTATGTAATGGTCAATAATTACTGAGCTCCCAGGACAAGAGCTCTCAACTTATGCTTTGAACCTAAACAAATTATCAAAGCTACTATCCCAATCACCATAAAGTTGCTTCAAAGCTAGTAGTTGACCCTTATATACCCTCTGGTAGTTGATGCTCACCTTGTGGTGTTCTTTAATTTTCTTTTGCAATTCTGTTGCTCCCAAAGTAGCATCTTGTATCAGAAAGTCCTTCACCTTCCAACATATCCAATGTTTCATAGCATTTCTTACTGTCTTTTTCCTCTAGTGCTAGAACAAGCATGAGGAAAGTTATTCTTCTTGACCTACAAGAGAGCAACATAGCTAGTTAGTAAAACAGCAACAAACAATCTACATGTAGATGGGTCTAAGAAATTATCCTTACCATAACAGTGCATTTGTCCACCGTTGTAGATGCATGAAGCCTCCATGGACAATTATCCTCCACTTTCCTTGAACAGTAGGCTCTGAACCTAGTTCTTGAACTTTTCTCTGTGTTGAATTGGAACTCATGTTTGATTGCATGTTGACAAAGAGCCAACTTGAACTCCGACATATTACGATAAGTGGTGCCTACTTCCATAGGAGGATCTTCTTCATCAAAATCAACAATTGGGTGATGGTTTACTTCTTCATATGCCTCTTCCTCATCAGACCCTAATTCATCATCATCCTCAAACCCATCTGAGTCATCCTCCAAGTCAGGCACTACAGGATTAGCCTTTTCCTTCCCTCTTTCAGAACATCTAGGCACAACTAGAGCATTCACAGGTGCAATGTCCAAGTACATAGTCTCCTCATCAACGCCAACATGTTCATTCTCTGGTAAAGGATTTCTAAGGTAACCATCCTCATCCTGGTCTGTATTGTTTTCAGGTTGCCCTTCAACAACAAACTCTCACTCAGTGACAGGCTCAAATGTCTTTGAGGGATCACAATAAGCGACGAACATCTCTACAACTTTCTCCTTATTGTGTATATCAAACAGAGACATCAAATCCTGGACTGATTTTACTTCTGGAAAAATCTTAAGAACATTATCATAGTACTGGACATGTGCAACTTCCAAGTAGCCTGGAGGGTACTTCTCTGTAACTGATTCAACGAAATCCTTATAATTCGACAAGTCTGAATCAACAACCATCTCGAAACTAAAACATTTCACATCCTTTCTGGCCTTTTTCCGATTGCCAAGCAAATGAATTTTCAATAAAAAAAACTAGAAGCTGGATCCATCCTGTGAGTCCAAAATAACAACGGCATGCATGAGAACTCCAACTTTGCAACCCTACTCATCTGGAGGACATGGAGATAGTAGACTCACCCTGCAGTGCCTTCTATGAGTTGGGAGAGTTGGGAGAGTGTCCTGGGCTTGGCAAGAGTGCCTTCAGAGGCCACGGTGCCCGCCCCCGTGACTACGTCTGAAGGCCTGCGGGGCCTCCTCTGTGGCCACGCCGGGCGCCTCCGTGGCTGCGCCGGCCACCCTCGAGGCCGCGCAGGGCGCGTACCTGGCCGCGCCGCCCACCTCCGTCGCCGCGCCGCCCGCCTCCATCGCCACGCCAGCCGCCCCTGAGGCCATGCCGCCCGTCCCCATCGCCGCGCCGGCTGCCCCAGAGACCGAGCCGCCCGCCTCCATCGCTGCGTGGGCCTTCAACGAGGCCACGCGAGCCGCCCTCTTCCGGTGTCGCGATGCAAAACAGGAGAGCCGTGGACTCGGGAAAAGGAGAGACTGAGTTGATCTGTTTGCTTTCTGAAGGGCATTATTGTCTTTTCCCATTGTCTCACTTCGACATCTAACCGTGCTTGCTCACAGATCTCACGGAAATGTCAAATAGGAAAGGAAAACTTGAGATGAGGAAATATAGGAAAGAATTTGAGTTTCGGTGTCAAATAGGAATGCAGCATTATTTTCAGGGTCAAATAGACAATTTTCTCTTTCTTTTATGCTCTTTCAGTGAACACCGGGCAGCAGGATAGAAGTCTGTTTATGTTAAAGTAGCACCAATTTTACCCAGTTCCTCTAATTTTTAACCCAGCTAAAACCACAAAACCAAACCACTTTACACCTTGGACATATTTAAAGTTATTTTCATGTTCCATGATTAGGGCATTTTGGCTAAAACATGACTACATATAAATGCATGTTTTGGTGAAAAATCTCATGTATGTATTAACATATTTCCAAGGCTTATGAGATATATAATGTGCAACAATGAGACAGCTCAAATATCAAATGTTCCCTGCTCTGGAATTCTCTGTCACCCTATTTAATCTAATGACTTCCCCTTATTTTGCAGTAACTCAATATGGCACACAATCCTCCCCCTGGGTATTTGCATTAGTGCACCAAGCTGGTTATTAATTGATCAGGTATGTGAATCCCACATCCATTGCGAAAAAAGAAGGCAAATCAAGCAAGTAATTTGCAGCTTTATTAATCATGTCAACATAGCAAATACACACCATGATAATTAATGGGTGACAAGTACATTGTATTACAGTCACCACACAGAAGCACACAAGGTTCAGAAATACACAGAATAAAATAGATGGACACATATATAAAAATACACTGCAATCAGAAGCATGCATAAAAGCGCATCAGCTCACATTCAATCTTCAGGCATTGGAATCGCCCCCGTTGTTGTTTTCCACTTGGACTTGTCGCGTTATGACATCCGTAATCTTAAAAAGTTCTTCATCCTCAGCTTCCATGTGTCGAATAAGCTTGGAATAATGACCATGGATCTCAACACGGAACTCACTGCTATGGATGAAAATATCCAGATCTTCAAGCTCGGGAAGTGCTGGCTCATGTATCTCCAACCTGCTGATTGCCTCATCATGCACCGTCAATTCCTTGAGGCTGTGAAATCCATCCTTGAAGATAAGGTGCCTCTCTTTGAAAGAATTGCTGCTTAGTTCAAGGGTGGAAAGGAACTGTAGGTCTCCAAGTTGGTTAATGAATTCCTGTGACACCTCTGTCCCCAAAAGCCTCAGCTTCTTTAGGTTTGGGAGGTGAGTGCGGACTTCCATCTTGGGGAGGGCATTTTGAGGAAGGTCAAGCTTCCCGACCAGTTCCATTGCCTTGAGACGTGGGAGGTTGGACCTGGTGAACACTTCTGAGGGAATGACAGGAGCTTTTAAGATGAGCACAACAAGGTGCTTGAGTATGGATACTGCTTTTACCAAGGCGGCCTTGTTCTTGAGGTTGGTGAAGATGTTCTCGCTGCCCTGACTATCACTGTGCCGGATGTGTAAGTACAATAGGCGGATCATGTAGGTGAAGGTCTTGTCGTCCCAGGCATGGGCGCCATCATAGTCAGGCTTGATGCTGTTGAGTGTCTGCAGATTCCTCAAGTCACCGACATGTTTAGGCAAGATGAGACGGTCACCCAGCACATGACGGATCGTCTGAATCCTCCAGAACCCATCTGGAAGGCTTCGGACCATGGTGCCTCGGACATCAAGAGTTTGGAGGTTGCACAGCCTACCAATTGATGATGGGATCTTCTCCAAGGAGCAGGAGGTAACTCGGATGTACTGCAGGTTCACAACATTGCCGATTTCGGCGGGAAGCTCCGTGTCCACCTCAAGGCCGTTGAAATGGATGACACGGAGGAACCTTGAATTCTGTAGCAGGTCCTGCACACAAGACTTGGCTTGCTTTTTCTTTTTGTTGCCCCCTCTAATTGAGGAACCAAGGCAGCACCTGACTGGGTACAGGCATGGCCCATCTCTATTTCCACCTTGTTCTCCTCCAGCTTCATTTGGTGGCTTCTCACCGACTTGTGCAGCCTCTTGTTCTGTCTCAAAGTTTGACAGGATGGCTCGCAGCTTTGGTAGAGGGTGTGACAGAGCTGCATACTTGTCTTTGTGATTCTGGAGCGACAAGCGTCGAACATCCGACAAAGCTGGGATGTCATCACCACTGTGGATCTCCACGAAGCATTGCTCTTGTGCTTCAAGCTGCAGGAATGTGTGTACTTTGCTCTGAACAGCTACACGCTCGTACCCAGGAACATTATAGCCCACTGGCGCCAAGTTGACAAGGCGCCTATCTATCAGCTCCTTCAGGTATTGCTCTCCTACTCTCTCCACTGTTGTGGCCTTTGGTACCAGGAAGCCCTCCGCCATCCACATGCACACAATGTTCCTTGCCCTGATAAATGTATTCACCGGCAATGCAGCAAAATAGAGGAGGCTAGATTTCAGGTCATAATGAAGGTCATCAAAGCAGAGGGATAAAATCTTGTCAATCTGCTTTGACTGCATCCTCTTCAGGTGATCAAACACCGTTTCCCATTCATTAGGGTACTCCTTGGTCCGCAGAAGGCCAGACAAAAGAACTACTGCCAGCGGCAACCCTTTTGTGTTCTCCAAAATACTCTGACTGTATTTTTCTATTGCTTCGTCAGGAAGTTCATTTCTGCCATATGTTAGGAAGGTTTCCTTGAAAAGATTGATGACAACTTTGTCATCAAATTTTGGAACCTCAATTTTAGCTTCTTGATACTGTGGGGGTGGCTTATGTGGTGGAATCTGAGAAATTCTCACTATTCTGCTGCAGGCATTGACATCCACACCCTTGGGGTTGGGGAGCATAGCAAAAATGCGATTCCACTCTGAGTTACTGAGCTCAGCATCTATCACCAACAGATACTTCTTTCCTTTCAATATCTCCTGCAGTTTCCTTTCAATATTGTCCTTGGAACATTCTTCTCCATCTGTAATGCGTCTGATGATTATCATGAGGACATCAGAGGCACTAAGATTAGGCCCAAAGCTCACCCACTCATAGATGTCAAAATGAGACAGCGTCTGCCTCCTGTCGTACAAGGTCCTCACCAGCTTTGTCTTGCCGACTCCACTTTCCCCAATCACAGTGATCACATTTTCATGATTTACACTGCTTTTATAAAGATAATACTTAAGCTCTCGCACCAGTTCCTCTCGTCCCACTAGTGGCAGCACCACGTCGTCCCTGTTGTCATAATTTTTGTGTTAATCATGAGGTAGATTGATAATCCCCAATACTACTACAGGAAATCCTCATCAACAGCAACCATGCCTGCATATATAAATGTAGCAAGAAGACCTATCAACAGCCAAGGATTCTAATCAACAGTCAAATTTGATCACCCCTGATCTACCGATTTTACAACAGAAGAGCATATTTTCTGCCGATTTGTCATCCATTTACATTCCAGGCCAAATAATCCTTCATGGTCCATCACATGCATCCTTTTCAAACTGGTATATGACAACATTTTCACAGACAATTCTCATCAACAGGAACCACACAACACACATATATGACACTTCATAAAAACGTCTGTGATTGTTGTATGAGTTTTGGGCATATATATAGGCCCAACGTCCTACTCATGCATGACATGTACGACAATGGGTGGGAGGTTTAGTACAATACTGCTAGGCTTGCCCTATTTAAGCAATAAAAAGAACTCATGCGCATAAGTGGGGAAATTGGTCAAAAACTAGGAACTAGAAGGATCCTTATCAGTTCCGTTCAAAAATGAAAATAGGGTTGGGAACTGCATAACAAATAGCAATATAATGCATGGATGTCCTTGTGTTGGTTTTGATTTTTTAGATTGAAAACAGTAGGCCCCGTTTGGATCCTTAAAATTGAATTCATTCTAATAATTATAATTTAAGCACATACTAATTAAGCTAATATGGTTGTATATGGAATATATTTGTATATTATTGTTAGCCATACAAGAGAGATACTTATACGTTGTATTTCTAGTGTAGGGAAGCGAGTTGAAAAGCGTGCTACAAGTTGCAAAGTAGAAATATAGCATGGTGATCTATAGAATCAATTTTTATCTCCCACCCTATGAATTTGAGTTAGGCTTATATGTGAACTTAGAAAAGTTGTGGAATGTCAAATTCCAAGCCAAATAGTCTAATCCATTAAGTAGATTCCAATTCCTCCAAAATGAAATGATCCAAACGGCCCCTAATATCACTTGGTGAGAAGGATTTGATAGATTGAAAATAGAAATTTATGCTTAGTTTTTGATAGATTGGAAATAGTAAATGCGCTTTGTGTTGATCGATTGAAAATAGCAATTACGCTTAGTGATGGATGATTAGTTACAAAATAGTCATTGCATTTAGTGACGGATAGTTAGTTATATGGATGTCTTGTGTTTTTAAAGGTTTAGTGAGGCATCGTTAGTTATTATATGCATGTCTTGTGTTTTATAGATTGGAAACAATAATTGTGCTTAGTGAGAGATTGTTAAGGATGATGTCTCATTTTGCATTTCAGTAGGCTGATAAGTGTAGCTTATATGTTGAGATTGAAATTAAACTAGTAGGGGTTAGTGTGACGATTGGCATGGATAGCTTGGATGTTGAGGTTGAAGGCTACTTTTGTCCAATCTGATTTCAATTAAATCAAATAAATTTAAGGGTCCATAACAAATGCTAGATGCAATAAAAGATTAATTCTATATAGAAATTGACTGGAGATTGACTCACCTTACATATATTGATTGTTTTTGTGAGGTTAAGAAAAATGAAATACATGTCCAACCCCCTACTACGTGCACCGAGTTGTGTGAAATCACGATGCACACAGCCTTGATTGTTCAAGCTGCCATCAAAGAATTTGTAGATAAAGAAGAGGGGTCGGACTGGTGGACAGAAGAAGAGGTGTGGGAGTAAGGAATGAAAAGGTGGGTAAGAAAGTGACGATGAATTAAAATCAAGGCGAAAGTTTCTCCTACAGTGGAAGGCTGCTATCAGCATGCAGCCACACTACTGCAGGAAAAAAAACAGCGGTACAAGTGATTTTTATATGGGGTAATTAAGTGAAAACGTTAAAATGAAAGCATTTTTTTCCCAACTTGTTGCAGCTGGGTACAAGCAGGGAATGTTGGTATAAAAGTGAATGATCAGTTAGGACTGTAATTTCCAAACTAGGAAAGGGCTCATACAAGGTGATCCATTGTCCCCATACTATTTAATATAGTGGCAGAAATGTTAGCGATCATTATTGCGAGAATCAAAGAGGATGATCATATAAAAGGGATAGTGTCTCATCTCATAAAAGATGGTTTATTAATCTTGTAATATGCAGATGATACAATTATTTTTATGGACCATGATATTGAACAAGCAAAAAAACAAGAATTTGCTACTTTGTACTTTGAACAATTATCTGGTCTAAAAATAAACTTTCATATGAGTGAGATTTTCTGTTGTGGGCAAGCAAAAGAATGTGAAACACAATATTCACAACTCTTTGGTTGTAAAGTAAGATCCTATCCCTTTCGATATCGGGGAGTACCTATGCATTTTAGAAAATTAAATAATAAAGACGAAAAGATTATTGAAGAAAGAATTGATAAAAGATTTGTAGTTTGGAAGAGTAAGTTTCTATCGGTAGGTGGCAGGCTTGTGCTAATTAATTCAGTGCTATCCAGATGACCTTTGTATATGTTATTTTTCTTCGAGGTACCTCGAGGGGTTCTCAAGAAAATAGAATATTATAGATCAATGGTTTTGTGGTAAAATGATTAGCACAAGAAAAAATTTAGACTTGTAAAGTGGCTTTAGCGTGCCAGCGTAGGGAACAATGAGGGTTGAGGATTCAATATCTAGATTTACAAAATAAGTGCTTCCTTAGTAAATAGTTATATAGACTTTTAATGAAGATAGAATGTGGCAGGAATTATTACGAAATAAGTACATAAAAATAAAACGATTTCCCAAGTTAAGAAGAAAGTGCGGGATTCTCACTTTTTGATGGGCTTAATGGCAGTAAATGATCGATTTTTTGATTTGATGAGGTGCAACTTAAGGGACGGTCCTCAAATCAGGTTATGGGAAGATACGATACACTATGCCAAAACAACACAAAAGAGACCTAATTTAGTGACCCAAAAATAAAACGCGTCTCATACAAAATTAGAGACTCGTCTAGTTAAAACATGTCGCTGATGTCTTTTAAGAGTGATGTGGCTCAAGAATACGAGTCTTTGGTATATGGTCCATGACTCGTCTCTCCTAGAGCTAAGATATCTGTAACGCGTAATGGGAGCCGCGTCAGATGGATCCACAAAAATAATCATTTCAACTGATGGATGACCCAAGTCTGGAATCTACCCGTCACCTCTCCCCTCGGTCCTTCTGCGTCTATGGCCCTCAAGCCCTCTTCGGTGACGTGTTTTGCCCATACACGTCGCTGCTGAAGGGTCCTCAGTAACGTGTTTTCACGCGTCACTAATGTGTCCACATTGGAGACGCAATATCAGTGAGGCATCTTTTCCGCGTCACTAATGGAAATCTAGCCTCTTCTCTAATGTGAAAATCTAACATAGTGATACATGGTTAGGGAACCAACCTTAAGCTACAAGTTCCTGAACTTATTCAACATAGTTCGTAAAAACATGCAACAGTAATCAAAGTATTTAGCACTGTTCTCCTTAATGTCTCTTTTAGGCGGGGACTTATTGGGAACAAATTGCTAGAATAGAATAATTTGATAGCAAGTGTAGACTTACAAGCAAATGTAATCGAAGTATTGCTAATGTAGACTTACAAGCAGGGAAGGATACTGTCATATGAACCTTGAATAAAAGTGGTAGTTTTACAGTGAGGTCGATGTGATACCTAATTACTAATGACATCACAGTAACACAGGAAATTTGGCGAGTAAAATTGCCTCTTAAAATTAAGATATTTCTTTAGTTCCTCAAAAAGAACAATAATACTAAACAAAGACAACCTAGCTAGCTACAAGAAATTGGTAAGAAAGCAAATAATGCTGTATCAGTAGTAATTTTGAGACTATTCAACATTTATTTTTTGTGTGTAAATATCCTAAGTTTCTCTGGCATGCGTTACATATGGTGTTTGGGATTCCCTTACCGCGTACCATGGAAAACCTTTTTGGGAATTGGTATAAGCAGTGTGGAAAAGATTTAAATTTGTTATTACTAGCAGGTGTGGCTGCCTTCTGTTGGTCCTTATGGCTCACTAGAAATAATAGTGTTTTTGACAAGTGCGGTACTACAACATTTTTGCAGGTCTTATTAAGGGGAACACATTGGTTCCGAGTTGCAGCGCAGTGAAGAAAAGAAAGAATATATCTTTAAGGCTTGTCAAACTCTAGAAACCATCGGCTCTAGCCTTTTTCTCCTCCTATGTATGGCCTGTTATGTCTAGGATTGTGAACTAATTTTCTGTTATTTTTGTGAGTCTACTTTGAACACGGGTATAAGAACTTCTTTGTAATAACTTGGTCTGATTCCTCACTTGTGAGCAATGATGAAGCCGGATGTTTTTTCATTATCTAAAAAAAGGTGAAAACATTATATGACGTAATTAATTTAATTAACTAATTGTCTTTCAAGTGAGTTTTTCTGTTTGAGTTTAGGTCGACCAAACTTCAGTGGTACAAGTTTTGGTATCGATGCTCCCTCTAGAGAGAGAAAACAAGCATGCATGAAACTATGTCTCACACAATCCATATGGATCCGTAAAAAAAAAACAATTCGATACACAAGAGATGCTAATATGTGAACAGGCTTGGAAAGAAGAACTTACATCTTTTCTGAGAGAGGTGACGTGGAGCTGGATGGCCTCCATATTGATCCTAGCGTAGTAGACTCTCCCAACCTGTACCTGTCCTTGTTCACAATGATTCCCTCCAGCCTTTCATTGATCAACCTGATCCTGCTGGAGAGGTCGCGCCGGACCACGACTTGAGTGGTAAAGCTGGCAAAGAAACTGAAGATGGCACGGCTCCAGCTAGGCAATCTACAGAACAAAATGCATATCATTAGTTTATGGATGATGTTCAAATCATTTTTCAACCCTGGCGTCCAGATAATAAATCTACAAATCAAATCAAGAGTCATGATCTTTCTTTAGGTACTATAAGTTTTCTTTTGCATATTGCAATATAAACCACATACTCATAAAGGTGCGCGCACTCACCCTCTATAAATGGACGTACACGCATACACACTCTACCCTAATGAGCACTTCGGAGAGACAAACTAAATCGGATGGGCACGCTACTATGAAACAGATTTACAGAGTCGGCCAAAAGTGAAACGTCCGTCTATAGCGTGTGGTCTCTGTTAATGAAGATTAATAGAGGCGGAATCCTATACTCGTCTCTGCAAATGTTTTTCGAAATTGAAAAAAATCCCAGTGAACCCATCGATGAGGCCCACCGAGCCCATCGACGATGATAGCTGAGCCCATCCAACGCTCGCTGCCCGTAGGGCCCTCTACCATTGCCCTCGACGTCGCCATTAAAGCACCGGGTGGCTGATGAACCGGGCCCTTGATGGAGGAGATCTGATGCCACAGAGCCTTGTCAATACTGTAGAGCTCACCACCATTGGAGAGCCCACTGTAGAGCCCTCGCTGACACCACAGACCATGTGCCGCCTGATTGCATTCCACCCGAAGTTCAAATTTTCTTCGAATCTACCTAGAGGGAAAGAGAGAGGGCGTCGGTTAGCGCCATGCTTCTTTTTGGTAGTGTTTAGTTTATGTCACAGGCGCATTGATTCCCTAGCAGTAGTGAAGTGTGTGTGTGTGTGTGTGTGTGTGTGAGAGTTTAGAGTTGTATGGGTTCTGTTGCATTTTTCTATCTTCTTAATATAATGATACGTAGCTCTGCTGCGTTTTCGAGAAAAAAAAGAGTGTGGGATCTAGTAGACTCAGCAGGGTCGGTGGGACTTTTTTTTGGACCAGAATAGTGTAAGATTTTGTTTCTAATGGGCTGGGCCTCACACCAAATAACAGAGGCGAGCCTCATAAAAATTCTACCTTTTAAAACAGACTCTATTTTTAGAGGTGAATGCCTTAAAAGACCCGTCTCAGTTATTAGTTTTTGAGGCGAAAGGGCCTGTAGCTTAGTGGTTACAAGAGCCTTGGTACCTCCTCAAGTCCTAGGTTCGACTTCCCATGAGAGCGAAATTTCTAGGATTTAACGGCATTGTACTTTCAATGGTAGCCAACATTCTCGTCGACAGCGAGGCGACTATGGTGACTTCGTCAATCACGAGGATTGGCCGGCCCAGTCTTCGAAAATGCTCATAGGTAGGGTTTGTGTGCGTGTGTTCATAGGGGTGAGTGTGTGTGTTGTGAGTGTCTGCGTTGTACTGTATAATCGAAAAAAGTTAATAGTTTTTGAGAGGCGGTAGTTTTTCTACTATATCTCCAAAAATGGCTTCACCGCCTGTGAAAATAGTTGGATATTTTAGAAGACCATGTTACTTTTAGCCCACCTGTAACATCCTGAAATTTGCATCCTTTCGAAATAGCTTAAATTCATTTAAACATGCAATTGAGTGTGCATTCAAATGTAGGGAAAATAATAATATTGTCAAATTAAAATCTAACATAACGCTAGACACATGATGTTGCATACATGCTGCTGCACTTTATTAATTTGTAATGTGTGGTTTTTGTCTCATCTCTCTATATTCAAAATTCTACTGAAAGGCTTTGGAAAGTTCAGTTTTCAGAAATTGTCAAGGGAAAATGATTATGCTCCTCTCTGTTCTCTGGCCTGATGGCTTGCTTCCAGCGCTGCTGCCGTGGCCCAACCTCCATACAGTGTTGTCCCCTTCCTCTCTCTGTTCTTGAATGAGACACGGTCAGTATGAAATCCCGAAGCCATTCTTCATCGCCCGAGTGCCAGGCGCGCCTGTTCCCTTCTCTTTGGCTTGATGCCGTCTCGGTCCCGTGCCTACGTGCTCGAAGGGCTTGACGTGTCAACCACCAACTCCGTTATCTTTCTCGTGATGGAAAGGAAACTGCAGCTTTCCTTTGTTAAGGGCGTCCAAATCCTTGTTGATCTCCATCCTTTCCATCTCTGGAACGACCCTAACTATAAAAGCGATGCGCCGCACACCGCCTCCCTTTCCCGACCCCTTCGCAGCAGTCGCAGCACCCGGAGCTCTCGTGCCGCCGCCGTGACCTCGCTGCTGCAGCCGCACATCGACCCGGTCTTGCGCGGCTTCGCCGCCGTTCTTGACCCTGTGCCGAGCTTTGTGCCGAGGTGACGAAGCCATCCTAGCCCATCTTCCTCGCTCGTTTCCTTTCTATCGCTCTCACGCCTTCGCCGAACATGCAGGAACGCGTTCATCCGCCCCGTCAAGCTGCACATCGTCTACATCTCGTTTCGGTCCGCGAAACAGCCCTAGGTGAGTTCGCGGTCGTCCACTCTATCTCCTGGTATTTTTTCTTTGGCTTACAGCGCTTGGAATCGTCGTATCCATGAGCGCCGGCGAGCTCCTCGCCGCCATCAATGGAGACCACCGTGCCGGAGTAGAGCGTGCAGCCATCTCTCTCTCTTATACTCTTTCATAGACCTTCAGCCGTCCAGATCGAGATCGACGCTCCAGATTAGAACATACCCTTTCGCCGGCAGTTTTTCTAAAGAGACCCTCAGTTTTCAGATAATCAAACCCGCTGTCCCTGTGCAGTAATGAAAACCGAATTTTATTTCTTTTAATTCGAAAATAAGTTCGCAGTAATTACCGGATTGCCATCCGTAGCTTATAATTAACATATCTTCTCCGTTTTAAATCCGATTTCGGTGATTCTCGCGCCTGTGTGTTCGTAGTGACGTGTAGAATATTTTTATAGGCTTTTAAACATGTTTTCCCTCTATTGGTGTACTGTTCTAATCATAGCTCTTGTTTGCTTATGCATGATTGCGTGGATGTATGTGTGTTGCTTTAATGATGATTATCAAGAATAGATGGTGAGTTTTACTACATTGATCAAGGCCAATACTTCGATGGTCAGCAGGACCAGCAGGAGTTCATTGATCAAGGAAAGTATAGCATGGGATCATCCTTGACACCCACTCACGTTTAATCATTTAAATTCATACTGCATGTGTCTACCTTGATTACCACTAAGGATTTCCTAGCTTTGTGTTTATACCTTGTCACCTATGGATTTTTGCATTGGGTAGTGATGCTAGTGCTCAATTAAAGACCATGATCTTGTAACTTGACTAATGGTATATGCAATAAACACTAAAATATGTTTTTTAGCAACAAGGAACAAGGGGGCTAGAGCATAGTTTTTGTGATGCTTTAGAATCCTCTCCTTGAGGACTTATCTGTAAGGGAAAATCCGGGACTTACAGTACAACCATGAGTGCTACATGGCTCTGACTTTAGTCAAGTATGAGGACCTTTTCTAGCTTGTTAGAGGTTACCGAAAGGCGTAAAAGGGGTTTGCCACATTGGGTATAGGACAACCTCTGTTCTTATGTGTATAGCCGTGAAGGAATTGTGTCATTCGAAAGGGGAGTTCCTACATCTGCCTGCCGAGGAATCCTAGCGGCCCTAACTTATTAGACGAACCTTTGAAAGACTTCATAGTGAACTCTTCCGATCTTCCTTGGTAGTGGGTCAAGAGGCTGATCACCTCGGGCAAAAGGGTAAATCACGGCTCATGGTGAAAGTGTACAAACTCTGCAGAGTGTTAAAAACTGTTATAACAGCCGTGCTCACGGACATGAGTGGCCTTGGACCCTTATGGAATAGATGATCATTAATGATAAGTGTGTTTATGATGTTCATTATTCTTGTCTACTTGATCATGTGTTTATTTGGGTTATGTTAAACTTGTTGCTACTCAATTGCGTAAAACTGTGATTCATTAAAAGCTAAATGCAGTTAAACCAGTGTCTACCTTTTGAGCCTCATGAACCCCGTGTTATTCTTGTTGAGTAGGAGATGTACTTACGCTTGTTTATATTTACTACTTGGATAAAAATCCCGGATGGGTAACAGATGGCAATGGTTATGAGGATTTTCTAGAGGATTTTTAGACTTCTGATCAACCAGTCGACCGTCCCTGTTGTTATGGAGGCGCCACGAAGTTATTTTAATTATTTCCGTTGCTAGACTTTGATGTACTTATGTAATGTATTAAATATTTGTGATGTAATAAAGCACTATGCTTGGTATTCTCCTTTAACTTGTCTTTATATGTGTGTAATTGATTCCTGGGCACACATATGGCTTTATATCCAATTTTGTCTTTAAAATTGGGTATGACAAATTGGTATCAGAGGCTATGTTGACTATAAGACGCAAGCCTAGTTAGTAATGGTCGTTTTAGCATCTTTTGCTTCACTTATTTCATGCTTCTACCTCAGTCTTGTTATATGCTTAAACTTTATGCTTCTTTCATTTTACTCTATTATAAATTAATTGCCTCTAATTCTAACTTTATCTTGGTCTATTCCTGTAGATGGTTCGTAGGACTACCCGCATGAGCGTGGGAGGAGCTTTCCCCCTAGGCAGCTTGCACCGCATGAAGAGATCGACATCATACTTGTGAACAACGCCAGAACGGTGCACGTCCTGGAAGTGCACGCCGAGGCGGTGCACCTTGATGAGGAAGTTTCAGAAGACCTGGTGGAGGCTTTAGAAGAACCAGAAGAGGATCCAAAAGAACCAGAAGAGGATCCAGAAGAACCAGAAGAAGATCAGTCCATGCAAGGATCCAATGCACCACCATCACCGGTGCCACTTGCAGTTGTTCCACCCCCAACCATTCCACCACAAGATGTGCCACCCCCGGTTGTCCAGGAGAAGACGCTCGATCCTTCTCATGTTGGGTGGAAGAAGAGGACCTGCTTCAGGAATGTGGGCAATGACTACTACCACCACCGGCTCCTGGAATAGTTGCGTCGCATCTATCCCAAAAGTCAGATGAAGACATACTACTGCTGCACTGAGCGTTTGCATCCTTGCGCTGGATCCGGATGG